CCCCGGCGGCACTGTCACCAGCCCTCCCCACTGCGCAGGGGGTGGCGGCGCGGGGCGGCTTCCGAGGGAAAAGAGCGTTAAGACCTGCCCCCACGGGCTCCCAAATGAGCTTTTGCAAAGCTAGTATTTTCCCGAATTATGGGGAGGTTGATGAGGTTCACATAGAAGTACGGGTCCCCACCTCCTGGAGACCAAACCTCCTGGCTCAAAACCCTTGACTGCAAATTGTTGGAGACAAAAAGAAAGGCTGCTGTCGCTGCTTGGCTCCTTTGTGCCTCAGTTCCCTCATTTGTGAAATTGGGAGTTGGTAATGGCGCTTATGTCACAGGGTTGTTTTGAGAATGAGCGTTCTAAAGGAGTTTAGAACAGTGCCCAGCACCTAGTGAGCGTCTGCAGGTACAGGTAGTACCAGATGAGGTTTCCAGGGAAATGGAGACCCCCCCATCCGGCAGCATTACCCTCTCATCCCACCGCCATGGTCAAATCCTCACTTCATTCTGGTCAAGCTATCGTACAGGTGTTTGGGGGAGACGGGGAATCAGAGATCATTGCCGCTACCCCAAAACTCCCCAGGGAAAACCCGGATCCCCTGGGCAGCCCTCTTCACAACCAAATACCTCATGAATTTTCCCTTGGAAAGCATTCCCTGGGTGGTTTTGGGGTGGGGGAACCTGGCCCCCTGATTGGAGTGGCAAACCTTCTCGGTCTCCCTTTTCCCAAACTGGAGATGCGACTCATCCCGGCCGTTCACCTCAGCGTTCAAACTAATCACGGCTGAGGATGCGGGGGTCAGGGGACAGCCCCTAAAATGCACACATATTAGCATTTGTGAAGGCTCTTTCCACCCTTACCCTGGATGCCTACATAATTCTGGGGAGAGAGGCGAATTCCCAGAGTTCTAGGAAGTGGCCCATGAATGAGGATGGGCTGCCCCTTCCAGGCACCTCTATTATTATTTTCTTCACGTGTGTAAAACACCTCACCTTTGCAAAAGCCTTTCCCACCCCCCCACTTCTGCTTTTCCCTAACCCCCTAATCTAAACCAAGCCCCCCTGCTGTGTTCTCTGCCAGCATTCTGGATTTTCCTCCAGAGCACTTACTGCCATTTGTAATTATATATGCCTGGGAATGTTTGTTTAATGCCCACTTTCCTAGGGGGGCTGCAGGTGGGGGCGACGGGCTGTGCCTCCCTCACTAGACCTGTGAGCTCCTTGAAGGACAGGCCTTGTCAGAGGCAAAGCCAATTACCTGTCTACGGTAATACCTGACTACAGTAAGTCCTTGTTGATCTGTTCAAAGGCAGAGATCCCAGAATGAGTCCTAAGGTGGCCACCTCTTCCAATATAGTTTCCGTGTATTGGCCACAGTAGGAGAGAAGAATGAGTGTCACTCGAGAACTTTCTTCGGGCCCCCAGCAGCCACAGTGCCCAGAAAAAGCACTCAGAATTGCCTGCCCTACCATTTTACCAAAATGAGAGGACACTTAAAATAGGCCAAGATGGCCCCCCTTTACTACGTTTAAAAGTCCTACCTTTGTCCTCTCTCACCAGACGTGTGCCCTTCAGCAGGCCATTTGTCTTTCTCCCTTGACTTAAAAAAGAATGGAAAAAAAAAAAAACCAAACAAACAGAAAAATAGGGGACAAGGAGACAAGAGACCCAGCAAATCAGGTATCCTTCCAGGACCTCAATCTCTATCTCCTCCTTTTAATGCAAACCAGTAATTACTGACAAGTCTGAATTTGAAGGTTAACAGAATGATAAAATTCAACAAGTATTTATTGGTGCCTTCATTTGCAAGTGGAAAGATAAAAGACTTTGTCCGCCCAGAAACCTTGCCGCTGCTGCTTCCTAGCCTGCTCGTCGAGAATTTTTCAAATGTTGCG